GGCATTGGAACGAATAGTAGCCGTACTGCACAAGCAATTTGGACAGATATTCTGCAAGCAAGCTCGCCTCTCCGACAGCAAATCCTTCGACGTGCTTTTTCTTGGGGCCCCGCCGTGGCGCACCACCGCCACCGCCACCGCTACCTCCTCCTCCTCCTCCTCCATCGTGTGGCTCATCATCCTCTGGGCCACCTGGCTCATCATGTTCTGCGTCACTCAGCACGCCGTCAACATGTCCACCTGCACTCGGCCCTGCACCGTCATCGCCACCGCCTCCAGAGCCAGGCGCACTTGCGGGGGCTGCCATGCCATATCGCATGCAGCTCAAGTGCGTTGCCGTGTATGTTCTGGCAATAGCTCGAGATCGTTTCAGGCGAGATGGCGCCATGAGCGTAGAAGCTGCCCTTGGCGGTTGCAGCACTGACTTAGCGTTGGCCCAGTTCGTGTCAAGATTTACGTCTAAAGCGCTACAGAAACCACGGATGTCCTCAAGATTATTCTCGAGCCTGATGGAACTGGCGATCCAAGGAAAGGTGCCCCGCCGAGCTCGCAAGTGGTGGTGCCTAGCCACGGCATGGGGGCCCTCGGCAACAGTGTCATCCAAAGGTGCAAATCGAATGGAATCGATTTCTGCCTCCAGCTGAGGGCTGATGTTTTCCCCCCTCTCGTTGATGTTATCTACTGCAGCACGCAATGGCGACCCTGGTCTCATGATGGCCAGAGTCACGGAATCATGGCAACATTGCGGATGCGCATTGAACAAGTCAATGCATCTTGATTTCATGCCAGGCGTATGCAACCTCCCCAATATGTAAGGTAGATCGTTCAAGAATTTGAGCTTCAAGGACCCGAGGGCGAACGTGCTCCTCGCCAAGCCTTGGGCTTGGCGCAACAGTTGCTGGTCGGGGCCGAACCTGCCCTCCATCCAAGCATTGGCCTCGTTCAGCCCAGCCCTCAACTTAGACATGCCGTGCTCGAAAGCAAAGCCTAGCACGCAACCAGATCGAGTGCAATTGATGGCCTCACCAGAATCCCACAGATGACGATGGCAGGGGCAGTGCCCTGCAAAACGGATTAGATCATTGAGCCACGAATTGAACCACATCATGACTTGGAATTGGAAGGGGAACGATTGACAACTCATGGCCCCAAGAACTATATCCAGACGGGTTTTGTCACGAATATCTCCAAATGCAGCTCTGGTGATGTGGCCCCTGGCCGACCAAATGAAACCGTCCAAGCAGGTCAGCACATGATAAAGTTTCTGCCACCTCCACTCCGCAAAACTAGGCACATTCGACACCGATCCCACAAGAGCAGCTAGACCATGCAGTCCGTGTGCTCTCCAGTGCGTCTCTAAAGTGCGCCGTGCACCCTGGGACGCATATTCATTCACATGCACGCACGCACCTAGTTTTATATGTCCCACCTCCTACTCCTACTTCGTACTCCTACTTCTTACCTCCTGCCTCCAACCTCATCCCACCTCCTACATCCTGCTTCCTACTCCCCCCTCCCGCCTCCCACTGGCCTCGGAGATCCTTCGTCCTACCAGCTTCGAGGTACATACCAGTTGCAGTCTGCATCATATGCCACTCCTACCTCCCGCGCCGTGCGTCTCACCTCGTCTGGTCTGTTCCCCTCCTGTCTCGTACCTCCTGCCTTCGGCCTCTCACCGTTTACCTCCGAGACTTCTGCCAACCTCTTGACTCGTTCTTTCGACCTCCTCCTCCTCCTTCCTCGCGCCATCGTCCGAGCTCCTACCTCTTATTTCGTACACCCTACCTCCTATCTCCTGCCTGCCACCGCGAATGGATCCCAGGGTTCCCAACGTTTTCAAGGGGCGGCGGAAGGCAGGAGGTAGGAGGAGGGAGGAGGAGGGGCGTAAGAGGTAGGATGGAGACGCTGGCAATTGGGGGGTGGCGTGGATTCGAATGAATACGAACCTCATCTCTGAAGAGCGACGCCAACGCCTTGATCCTCACGAGAAAGCGTGGGAACCACACAAGGGTATTACAGCCGCACCTGATAAGATTATCCACCTTGTGCCTCCAGCCAGGAATAACAATGGCACGCGGCAACAACAGCTGTCGCCTGGCAAGCACAAACTTGGCGCCAAGACACTGATAAAAATCAGGCAGACAGTCGTTCATTTTGGCGACCATGTATTCTGTCCCCATATCGGAGACCACGCCACGCACGCGATCGAGAACTTTGCGCATGACAGATGCATTGCCGCCAAACACCAAGTGAATCTGCCACAATAGCGCAGCAGTCTTGGCAAGTGCCGAAAGCTGAGTTCTCATAAGAAGAACTGGGGCAAACATCCTGGAAAGAAACTCTCGGCCTGCAACGCGGACACGGTACGAGGCAGCTTGCATCTCCCAGCCTCTGCCTTGCGGACTGGAATCAACATACAGGTAGATGTCAACCTCATTCCAATTCATTGTGAGGAATAGTTGTCTGGTCAGGCGCATGGCAGTCCAGTCTGCTCTGACCCTGGCCGTGCGCAAGGTCTCGTACCTGATCAATCTCAAGCTGCGCTTTAATTCGATACGATCGAACCGTCCACTCTCTGAGAACAGCCTGCTCCAAGCGATCGCGCCTTTAGCGGCGTGCCTGAGCGATCTCAGAGTGCAACTGGCATCCAGCCACGCCAAGACCAGAGAAGCATTTACAGAGTGGCGCCGTACTCCTGGCGCGACGCCTGCCTCAAGGGCTGGCAGGGCAGGCACGTGCTCCGCATGCCCTCGTCGGAACACTTTCAAGATAGAAGGCCGCGGCCCGAACCTCAAGGTTTGTTTCATTCGCTTCGTCACCACATCGCAGCAAAACAACACTTGCATCATTCCCATCAGGCTCACAGCGAACGATGGACATAGAACAACGGGTCCGCACATGGTGATGTCCCCATGCGCAACACGGATTTGCTCAACGTGTTCATCCCAGCTCCCGCGCACAGCATCTCCCTCCAAAGATCTGCACATACATATCTGCCCTTGCAGTGCGTCAAGGGCAACATTCAGGTTCACTGCATCGGGGTCGCAAGCGCGAGCCTCAAGCAACTCGATGCATGTTACAGCTCTGTGCACCAGAACACCGTGACAAGCTTTACCTCGCAGTGCCGCCAACGATCTTCGCACAATGAGCTGATCGAGCTCACCAGGGAAGCGTCCAGAATCCCGCAGGGGGATCAGCTCCCAGTGGCCCAGGACAGCGCCGAACAGCCAATGCTGTCCGTCTTCAAAGCGGACGCCCTCGGCTCCCGAATACTCGCTGGCGAACGGGCCGCCGCGCACGCCGAAGACGAACCAGAGCCCGTCGGGCCCGCGAAGGATCTCTCGGCCCCGACGCCTCCGCCGGCCCGCCGCTGCAGCCGCGCCGTCGCCGCCGACGGCCGCGCCCTCCGCAGGGGCCTCGTCGCCGACGACATCGTCGTCCATTCTTGCGACGCACACTGAGGAAACACAATTGTGCGAAGCCCGTTTGGGTCAAAACGAGTTTGGGCAGAAATGGTTACGGAGGAGGAAGGAGGAGGAGGGGGAGGAGGCGCACCCCAAACAGTGAGTGACACGAGCGGGCATTGTTCGGGGGGGAGTTGTGGAAGAACGGGGCGCTGACCCCTTCCCGTGGGTCCGTGCCCCAAGAAACGCCAGGACCCCAACAGTGGATTCGGCATTTCACTTGAGACATCCGCACACCATGCCACCCGTCATTTCGGACATTGTCTCAGCTTCGCATATGGTTGGCTGCAACGCTTGCAAATAGAAGGACAACCGCTTGAGACATCCTGACATTGTGACGAGCCACTCCGACCGAGCCCTCTACGCGTTGACTCGGCCACACGACCTGCGAGCGCAAGTGATAAATTCACGCCGACCAGCCCCGATGGGACGTGGTCATGTGGCTTGTAAGCAGGGACATGCAAACCTGGTGTGACCAACTCGCGATTCAGCGGGAACCCATTGTTGGATTTGATTGTGTGTTGCTTTTGTTTGTTGGGGGGCGAGCAGGGGGCGGACTTCCGCGTCGTTTACCATCGACGGTGAGTTGTTGTGCTTTTTCGTGTTCGCATTGTTCATCGTTGTTTGGCTGTTGTTTGAGATGCGTATTAGTAAGTTTAAAATCTCGTCATTGCTCTTAGCGCGCAGTGCTAAAATCCTAAGTTAAGGGATCTTTCCCCTTTTTATGGGAACCCCCCGTCGGTTCACATAACCCCATCCCATTGACGGGAAAGTACCCTTAACCCTTGGAGAGTGTCTAGCCACTCAGGAGGCACTAGGCCCGCGGCCCGCGCCAGCTCCCGACGCTCGCTGGGCCGCGGCGCCCGCAGGGCCTCCGCGGACTTCGAGGTGAAGCGGTGCGCGGCGGGCAACGCTGACAAGAGTGGCCGCCTCACCATGGAGAGGAAGGCGTAGCGCCCGACGACCTGCCTCAGCTGCTGGGCCGTCACCCGCGGCGTTGCGAGCAAGGCCCGCGCGGCCGGCATGGGGCGCCGGGCCCTTCGCGGCGCCGGCGAGACGGCCCCGCCGCGGCCGTCGAGCGCCCGGCCCGGCAGCTGCGCGTCGCGCGCGTGCGCGGCCAGCTATTCTTCGTGAGCGGGCAGCCCGCGCGAGCGCAGCTCTGCCACCGCGGCGTCCTTCATCTGGTCGGCGACGGCGGGGCCCAGCGAGAGCGCGGCCAACTTATCGACGCGCTCGAAATTGCGTCCAAGCGCTGGCCCCGCGCAGACCTGCCAATCCGCGAATAGCCAGGGGGCGACGGCCCGGCGCGGTCAGCGGCCGACTCCGCCGCCCTCCGGCAAACCGCGAAGGCGCGATGCCTGCCAGCGCCCGCCCCCGCCCGGCGTCGATGGGCGGGGGGGCGAAGTGCGGGCGCCGGGCCAGAGGGGGCTCTGCGTTGTAGCAAGCGCCCGCGATGTCGGCGGGTTACATCCACATGCTGCCGCCCTCGGGAAGCTCCGCCGCCGCCGGCGCCGCGCGCGCGGCCAAGTGGGCGTCCGCTGGCGCGCCGAACCAGAAAATGGCGGGCCGGGCGTCGACGACGGGCCGCTGCCGCCGACTCTTCTCGGGTGCGCTGGACAGGCCGACCTCGCCCGCCACGTCCGCAAGGTCGCGGGCGAGGTCGATGGCCCCGGCGTCCAGCAGCCGCGCCGGCGAGGCCGCGCAACACCAGGGGTCGCGCAGGGCCGGGTCCGCGCAAGGCTTCTTGAAGCCACCGTTCATTTTCAACTGCAAGACATCGGTCTTTGGCGGCGCCATAGACGTGGTCGAGCTACTCGGGGTCCAGGGGCCGATCCAGCGCCGCGCGGCGGTTGCCTGGAGGTGGGGAGGTGGGGGCGAAAGCTAAGGGGCGCACGTCGCCTCCGCCCTGGTCGACATCGAGCCGTCGTGGGACAGAGTAGCCTGGAGCTTCTGGAGGGCCGCCAAAGGCTCGAGGTCGCGCGGCGGGAGGCCCAGCTGAGAAACGGGCTCCGCGACGCTCTCCAGGCGCTGCCGCTGGGCCGCGCTCGCCGCGAGCAGGCCGCCGCCGCGGCCCTCGCGTCCGCTGAGGCCGTCGATCGACTCCACCGCCTGCCTGGCGCGCCACGGCGCCGACGCCGCCTGGCACGCGCGCCTTCGTGCGCCGCGAGCGCGCCCGCCTCCGGCGACCCGCCGTGGTCGAGGCCGGCGCTGGCAGCGGAAGATGCCCCGCTGCTACTCCGTGCCTGCCGCGCCGCGCTGGCCGCGCGCATCCTCGCCGCCGCAGGGGGGCGCCGAGGCGGGATGGCGCGGCTCCCAGAGAGGCTGGGCCACGAGGCCCCTGCAGGGTGTAGAGCACCATGACTTCGCGCCTCCCCGGAGGTGGCCGTCGCTTCCTTCCGCAGCTTGCGGGCGTTCTTCTTCGACTGACTCGCGCGCTCGAGCTCCTTGCCGACCGCGCCCAGCTTGGCGGGGCGCGCCATGCTGCTTGGATGGCTGGCTGAGCCCGTGCCCCCCATAAAGGCGCCGTCGTCCTCCCGCGGCGTCCTCTGCCGGTTGGGATCCTGCTCGCGCTGCTTCTCGCCCCAGAAGTGTTCAATGAGCTGCATCTTCCTCAGCGGGCACTCGACGCCCACCAAGTTCGATACGTTGACCTCGTCTGCGGTGGCGAGAGCCTCGAGCGCGGTGCTGAGGGCGTGGTGATAGGCGACCTTGCAATCGGATGTGCTGAGTCGCTTGCGAGCCTTGAACTCCAAATCTCGAGATGCTGGGCCCGCCCGCCCTCGCGCAGAAGCCCGCGGACCTCGGTGCGAGCGCGAACTTCGGGTCAGACACATCCTCGGCGATCTCCGCGACTGAGAGCCAGCTCGCGGGACGACAACGCCGGGCGTGCGTGCAAGGGTCGGGGGGGGAGGATCAGCACCGCGCGACGCCCAGCCCGCGACGCCAAGATGATGCCGCTGATCAGGTCGACCTGCTCCACGGAGCCGAACGAGAACAAATCCGCGTCCTCCGCGAGCACCCAGCCCCGGTCCGCCAGCACCTCGCCGTTCGCCCCCAGCTGTGTCCTGCCGTCGCCCTTCCAGCCAAGTCCCGCTGGCGCGCCCGCGGCGGGGGCGGCCAGGAGGGCAGGCGCCAGCGCCGCCAGCGGCAGCGCAATGGCAACTGGGGGCAGCCCCGCGGGCGCCCCGTCAGCCGGCACCGTGGCGCCTGCCGTCGTGGGCGGAGGCGCGGCCGCGGCCGCGGGCCCCGCGGCAGGCGCCGCCGCCACCGCCCCGAGAAAAAGTCCACCTGCCATCGGCGCGAGCGAGCCCCCAGGAGGGAGTGGTGCGCTGGGGTTGCGCCGAGCGAACTCCGCGTCGGCCTCGGTCGTGGCGGCTGCCACCCAGGCGGCCTCGCGAGCTGCCAACGGCGCGCGGCCGAAGCGGTAGGTCGACTCCGGCGCGATCGCAGGCGGGGGCGGCCACCGCGCCGCCGCTAAGCGCACCGCAGCGATGTCGGGGGCCGCTCCGCATACACCATGTCCTTTAGTGTCACGGTGATGACATGACCCGCGAGCGCCAATTAATTGCCCCACTACCCTCCTCTGGTGGAAGGTTGGAAGGGCGGCGCGCCGCCCACGTTCTAAAGACCCAAGCTGACGCCTCCGCCATCGGCAGCAGCAGCAGCGAGAGCCATATGAGCAGCACGACTGGTCGGTACGGGGGCCGCCACGGTCGCGACGGGAAGCGGGGGCTTCGCGTCGGAGGTGAAGCAGGGCGGGTCGAACGCGCGCAGCACTACTGGGACGGCCAGCGCCCCGATGGAGTCTCCCACCAGCGATGCGCCCGGCGCAGGCCACCGACACGACACGGTCCCCGCGGTCGCCCCCACCGTCGCCCCTGGGCGCGGCGGGCAGGCTGGGCACGCGGGGCAGGACGGGACGTGGGTGGCAGGGCAGCGCGAGACCCAGGCCTGCAGCGATGGCACGCCCAAGCGGTGGCCGAGCCAGGCCATTCAACGCAGCCCCGCCGCGGCTCCAGTTCGAGAGCCGAAAGCTGTGGAAACAATGGAAGCATTCGACCTCTCACCCCCCTCGTCTGGCATTCAACTTGAAAATAAACGACAGTGATGATGATGATGCTGATGCTGATACTGATGATGATGCTGCTGATGGTGATGTTGACGTTGATGTTGATGTTGATGATGATGATGATGATGATGATGATGATGATGATGATGATGATGATTATGATTGTGATGATGATGATGCATGATGCTGGTACTGATGAGGATGCTGATGATGATGCTGATAATGATGATGACGATGACGATCACGATGCTGCTGATTATGATGATGACGATGATGCTGATAATGATGATGACGTTGATGTTGATGTTGATGTTGATGATGATGATGATGATGATGATGATGATGATGATGATGATGATGATGATGATGATGATGATGATGATGATGATTATTATTATTATTATTATTATTATTATTACTATTATTATTATTATTCTTATTATTCTTATTATTATCATTATCATTATTATGATGCTGCTGATGATGATGCTGCTGCTGTTGATGATAATGGTGATGCTGCTGATGAAGCTGATGATGATGCTGATGACGACGAGGAGGAGGAGGAGGAGGGGCAGGAGGAGGAAGAGGATGAGGATGAGGATGAGGATGAGGATGAGGATGCGAATGATGATGATGATGATGATGATGATGATGATGATGATGATGATGATGATGCTGCTGCTGCTGATGATGATGAGGAGGAGGAGGAGGAGGAGGAGGAGGATGACGACGATGATGATGATGATGATGAG